ACGTTGATTAGAGGAAGGATATATTTTCAAAAAGTTAGAGAGGAATCTGTAAGCATTACTAACGCTTGTTCTCCACAGTAGCAGAAAGAGCAAAAAGGTGAACCTGGAAGGATAAGACATGGACATCACACACCACACCAATGCTTTTGTGAAAAGAAGAGAAGATCCAGGGAACTACAGGCCAGTCAGTGTCGCCTCTGTGCCTGGCAAGCTCATAGAGCAGATTCTCCTGAAGGCCACACTAAGGCACATGGAAAACAAAGATGAGGTGACTGATTGAAATCAACATGGTTTCACTAAGGGCAAGTCATGACTAACTAACTTGGTGGCCTTTCATGATGAAGTTACAGTGTCAGGACTTACGCAAAGAACAGTGTACTGCACAACATCTTGGTCACCAAATTGGAGAAAAATGGAATTGATGGATGGACCATTCACTGGACAAGGAATTGGTTGAATGGTCACACCCAGAGATGTAGTCAACTGCTCAATGTCCAAGTGGAGATCAGTGATGATGTTTGTTCCTCAGAGAATGGTGCTGGGACCTGTGTTATTTAACATCTTTGTAGGTGACGTGGACAGTGGGATCAAATATGCCCTCAGCAAAAGGACAGATTTAGACTAGATAATAGGAAGAAATTCTTTACTGTGGGCGTTGTGAGACACTGGAACAGACTGCACAGAGAGAATGTAAATGCCCCCATCCTGGAGATGTTCAAGGCCAGGCTGCATAGGGCTCTAAGCAAGCTGGTCTAGTGGGAGGTGTCCCTGTCTATAGCAACGGGGGTTGGAACTAGACAATCTTAGAAGTCTTCTCCAAATCAAACCATTCTATGATTCTATGATTCTTTTTTTTTCTGGTAACCTGCTTGAAGGCCTCTGCTTTAGGTTGGAGATGTAAAATAACAGTTTGTGCCAATACTACATTCCTGGTGTCTCCTCCTGCCTGAAGAACCACCTTGTTACTTGTGTTCCAATACAATAAGCACTTCATTTCAATATAGCAAAAACATAATTTCTGCTTTTCTTAAACAATACCAAGCCACTGGCCAAAGGTCAGAAATCACAAAAAGCACACGTGCCTCATCTGAGGGCCAATATACCTCAAACTTCTCATTCTGCTTAGGATTGAATCTTTCACATTATTCATATATCAGGCAGAGCACATGAGGGAGGCCACTTTCTGTAACCTATTTTTTGATAAAATATCATTTTCACTGAAGAGGTCTAGTGCATTTAACATCCCCATGTGTTTACGCAATATTAGAATGTATGAAATCTGACTCCAAATCTATTCTTGTCCCCACTTTTGTATGTTTGCTCCAGTACATCTGTCTGTCCCAGAAGAAACAAGTTAGCAAGATAAACATGGCTTCAAGATGATGTCCGTGATGACGTGACTTGAAACACATTTCCTATACCTGCATATTTTCACTGTAAAGCATTCTCCAAATCCAAAAGCCATAAATACTGAAACAACTCCAGCAGCAGACTCACTTGAAGGAAACATAACAGCAATTGTCCAGATCTATAATAAAAATTATTGTTATATTTTCAGTCTGTTGAACAACCCTTTTTTGTAGTCTGTTTTGTTACTGTTCCTCATACCACTTATGTTGTTATGACTATTTAAGAAGTTTCACGGGAACTTATGGACATGGGATTCAAGCCAGATTTCCTGCCTGTTAATCACTACCGAGTGACATTTTCCTGAAAAAGTCTGCTGAACAAAAAAGCAACTAATCTTTTGGTAGTTACATTGAAAGGTGTAGCAGTGGTATTAAGTTTTCAATACAGTAACAGTTTGTGCTGGTCTTTTGTTTGTTTTTTTTTGGTGGTTTTTTTTTTTTTTTTTTTTTTTTGCTGCAGTGTATATTTTGTGCAACTTCTGTAACAACAGCAAAGAAAAAATTGAAAGCCATCCACATACTCCCACCCTCCCACCTTTAGGAATATTAGACATGTTTTGTTGTATTGCTTATTTTAAGCTAGAAATGAAGAAATTGAGACTATGCTATCTGAAACAAAGTCTTCTGAGACACTGTTAAGAAATCTGAGAATTTAAAAGATTAAAATTGCTAATTTTCTTCATTATTTGAGACATACGATAGAAGCATAGATATACGCTTCAGTTTACTGTCAAAACAGATTATTAAAAAAATCAGTGTACATTTTAATGTCAAGAAATGTGTACTTAAATGTTTGTAACTGCACATGACTTAATACGGTACACTCAGTTCTGCAAAGACAGGCAATTTTGAAATTTGCTTATGAATACTTTCATTAAAAACTAATGCTTTTCTATTTTTCGTAAACTACTCTGAAACTGAAGAGGCAGAAGATAACTTCACAATTTGTAGTTAAAATAAGAAACAACAGAAACACAGTAACATTTACCTAAACAGAAAACACTCTATAAGACACCATTTCCTAACAAACTCCTAACAGGAGAGATCACCATCACCTATGGTCTTTCAACTCCATAGATCCCATATGTTGCAGACTAACATCTGTTCTGCGACAGGACACTTCACTTCTAATACCGTTAGTTACATTTTACAACTGCCTTCACCTTTTCTGGTAACAAATCACTCAAAGAGTCCAGATTACTATCGTGTGGGACAATGCATTTCAGTCTCTCTAGCTGTATCTGAGATGATAAAGCCAACAGCACTTTCTAAGAATTAAACTGCTAGACTTAAAACTTGTTTCTTTCTACACTAAATTAAAATAATCCCAAGTGCTTACTTAGCTGTCCTTTTTTTAGTATTAAGATAGATTTAAAGACTTCAAAATTCCACAAGCAGACATTCAAAACAACTCAACTTTAGCAATTCTTAGTTAGAGGAAATAGAATTCTTACACTAAGAGGAGAGCATTTATACTGTAGCCCCAATCTACAGTAGCTTCCCAGAATGTGAGGAATTGGATATAAGAGGCACTTTACCTTCATTTCTTTAGGACCAGCTGCATCAGTATCAACAAGCTGTAGTTTCCTATACTAAACAAGAACTAAAGTGCTAAAAATATGCTGTTACTCAAGCTTTGAGATATTCTCTCCAGAGATAGGATTTCCTGATATGATATTCAAATTAATAGGAAGTACTCTTCCTGTGTTTTCTAGACTGCTAGACTAATGGGTTTGTTTTCAGTGGACTTTAAAAAAAAAAAAAAAGGAAAAAAAAAGAAAAAAGGAACAGATTACCTAACTGATTGGTGGTCACTACTTTATAGTAACACAGTGTACAAAGTATATGCGCATCATCTTCTCTAGCCTAGCATCACATAGTAGCAAGTTTCATTTCTCTTATATTTCCAGAAGGAATTTTTAAAGAAACTCCTCAAGACCATGTCATTTGGTGACTTTTACTTTACATCTAGACCTATTCAAAACTGATAGAAATGCTTGCGAAGGAGATAAGCACAAAGATGGATTTTCACTTAAGGGGAAGTCATTTATCTGCAGAAAGTGAACAACTTTAATTAGACAGATTTGGACACGTGTAGAACACGTACAGCTACAGAAATATTCACTCCAACCATACATAACACTCTATATAGACTGAACACTCTAAATTGGAACATTAAGTATAGAACACATACTCTGAAGTCTTTTGTTTTTCCTTATTTTCTACTAACCTATGATTAGGACTATCAGACACACAGCAAAGTGACAACCAATATCAATTTTTTAAAGAAAAAAAATACCTGTGTTCACAATGAACAAACTTTTCAAGTCAGAATACTAGGAAAGTAGGCATACTGCACACAGCAAAAGTATGCACTCAACAAGTTATAATTCACACTAAAATGCAGTTTTCTTTTTAATACTAGTTACTCATTTGATTTTGGTTTCTGAAAGATGAGGGAAAGCCAGACAGCTGCAGCACACAGTCAAACTAGGAAGTTCAACAGTCTGTTTCATTATTTTGAACAATTTTCTACAATGTGCTCAAAACACTAACTCCTATTAAAGACAGATAACAATATGGATTTTGGCAGACTGGATTCTTCTAGTTTTCCACTGCATAACTCCACACCCCTTCAACATTCTGGAGTTAATTCAACATTCTGTCACCAATAAAAAGGATAACCAGACACGACTGGCAGATGCAAATGGAGAAACTAAGTTTCAGGGTTTTTTTACCTGATAATGAGTTTTAACTGTCCTATTTCTAAACTTGCTGCCTTGATACGTACAGAGCAGTTAAATTATAATAATTAAACTTCATATACATAGACGAAAGATTTTTGTATTAACACAAATATGTTTATATTTCATCATGTATTCCCTGTTCAACAGCAGCTGGATATGAAGCAGTGTAATCCATCTATTCAAGTAAATATTAAACATTTAACTCTCCTTCAAGGAATGCTTTAGATGTTTTACATATCTTTCTTTTAAAATGCAAATATTAAATTAAAAAAAAAAGAAAAGATTAAAAAGAAGTTAGGCTAGTCAAAGATAAACCTTACATTTCAAATGCAGTTTGTCCTTTTAAATTTCAATAGTATCATCAGTATCAGAAGAATCTGTTTTAAGATCTCATGTAAAATTTTTTTTGAAAATATGCCCAAAGCCAGTTATCTTCATCTATTTTTCCATGTGTCTTATTAATGGCAGTTAATTAGTTATATTAGTCATATTAATTAGGCAGTGCTGGTGTGGACCAGAGAAATTAACTGTGCTCTGGCCACAGTATGCACTGGAAGGAAAAGAAAAGAAGTGATAAACTCTAAAGAAACACCACTGAAACTCTTCCTGTAGTGAACCCCCCCAAAACATCTTTTTAAGAGTGGCTCTCATGGAGCCAGCAGCAACTCTGTGTCGTCAGAACGGCACACAGAATGGACAACTAAAGATAAGACTGAAGGATGACCCCTTTTTCATAACTTTGAGTATAATTTGTATGTGACACGCATTTTTTGAAGACTTTCACTATATTCACAGAAATAAAAAGAGGAAAAACTTGAGCTATGGAAATAAACTAAAATCTCACCTTATTATGTTCATACTTGTATGGAATTTTGAGAGTATCCATGGCTCTGATCATGGCCTGCATTGCTGTAAATATATTCTGGTACACCAGTTTTGTAAAGCCTCTTTTGTCTTCATCAGAATAACCTGATCCATGAATGATTCTCATCTGCTTGATAAACGTGCTTTTGCCACTCTCTCCTGTACCTGTAAGAGAAGTAAGAAAGATATACTTTAGTTACAGGACTCTAACATGACTTTTCAGTACAAAGCTGACACCTTATTCAGCACAGGGTGAACAGGGTGAAGCGCTGCTTCTACAGTATCTACAAAGACCAGCTGAATACCAAACAGCAGTATAAGAAACGAGGAAACTACACTAAAACTTGAATTTGGAAGATATGATAAAATAGGGTGACTTACCAACTAAACTGGTAACTAAAACAAAACTTCATATAAATTTACTGATCTATTATTTAAAAACATATGAGTTTCAGCTTTTCAAGAAATAGTTTAAAAAATAACTAACTTCAGATAATTACTATGAGATTTGTTATCACAAAAATTCAAGAAGTCACAAAAAAAATTATCATGTTTAGCCAACTTGCAGGACACTACGATAAACAGCAGTGTAAAAGCACCAGATAAGTTAATTTTAAAATAATAGTAATAACAATAATGTACTACAGTAAGCACTGTCCTGCAAACTTCAAACTCAGAAATATATGAAATCGATCTTAATTAAAATTTGGTTCATATTCATACAGAGAAATTCATAAATTTCTCAGATTTCTTTCTGGTTGTTTTTTTTTGTTTGTTTTTTTGTTTTTTTTTTGTTTTTTTTTGTTGTTGTTGTTTGTTTTGTTTCTTTTTTTAATTTCAGACAAAGCACAAGTGATTTTCTTCTAATTGAACATTCCTTAGTATTTGTCTATTTGAAGTTAAGATCTCTTTGTTGGAAATTTCATGCAGGATATCGCACTCTTTTTTTCCCCTTTCAATGAGCTCATCCTCCGTGATCAGAAGAGCTTATCTAAATTATGTTTGCTTAAAAGGAGGAGTTGAAATTTAAAATTAACAGTTGCACAGCCATATGAACCTTACATTCACTGAGATAGCCAGCCTGGATACTCAGAAACCCAACACATTCACTAGGCTGCATTGCTTTTCAGCCTTCCAGCTTGGGTTTCATTTTAATCATTTTCTAAAGGTTTCGTGTCTCATACTACAATATTCGCATCCCACGACAAAGGCAATCTGATACATTACATGATATTTTAAGTGTCTTACCAGAGAACCGTGTTTCACGGCAGTGTAATGCACAACTAAAGCATGATGCTGCACTGGCAACCCTTAAGTATGCATGCACACTGCATGACTTCAAAGCTCTAAACACATGCGTTATCGTGAAACCTTCAGCACCACTACTCTTAACCACAAAACAAACCTCTACCCCAAGTGTTCCTTATACACACATTCCCAAGCTGCAAGCAGAGTGCTATATCCTGACCTATTTTACACCCACCGCGGAGACAAGTGACTGTCGCTGTAAAGAAAAAGCACACGCTCCGAAATTGAAAAGTGAGATCAAGCCTGCTAATACACACAGCTTTTACTAGCACTCAGATAACACTGTGGTCAATACAGTTTAGGACAACTGGGAGAGTCCTTGGGAGACAGTCTTGAAGGGCAAGGAGTCCAGCAGGGTTAGATACTGCTCAAGAGGAAATTTTAAAGGCATGGAAACAGGCCACCCCCATATGCAGTAAGAAAAGTCAGTTGGGAAGAATGGCCTGGCTGAGGGGGGAGCTTTTGCTCAGACTCTGAGAAAAAATAAAAAGAGAGCTTATAACACTGGAATGTATAAGGATGTTGCTAGGATAAGCAGAGAGAAAATTAGAAAGATAAAAGCCCAGCAAGAAGTTCATATCATCACCAGACTTTGTGTAACAAAACTGTTTTTACAAACACATACAGAGTAAGAGAAGGACCAAGGATAATCTCCATTCTTCATTGGATGTGGTAGGGAACCTTACCTCTGAAGGTGAGATGGACATACTCGATGCCTTTTTTACATCTGTCTCTAATAGTCACATAAGTTTTCTTCAGGATACTCTATCCCTTGAGCTGGAAGACCAGCATGGGAAGCAGAATAAACCCTCCATAATTCAGAAGGAAACAGCAACCTGTTGTTTTTCCTGGACTGCCACAAGTCCATGAGGCTGGATGGAATCCACCCAAAGGTATTGAGCGAGCTGGTGGGGGTGATTGCTAAGCTATTTTCCATCATTTATCAGCAGTCCTGGTGAACTGGGGAAATTCCAGACAACTGAAGACTTGCTAATGTGACAACCATTTACAAGAAGGGTTGGAAGGAAGATCTGGAGATCTGTCAGCCTGACTTCGGTATTGAGCAAAGTTATGGAGCAGATCATCCAGAGGAAGATCACATGGCACGTACAGGATAACAGGATGAGGCCTAACCAGCATGGGCTCATGCAAGGCAGCTACTGCTTGACCAACCTCATCTCCTATGACCAGATGATCCACCTGAGGATGAGGGAAAGGCTGGGGATGTAGTTTACCTAGACTTCAGCAAAGCCTCTTACACTCTCTACTCCAGTATTCTCCTGGAGGAGCTGGCAGTCCATTGCTTGGAAAAGTACACATTTTGCTGGTACATTTTGCTTTACAGTGAAAAAACTGGCTGCATGGCCAGGCACAGTGAGTGGTGGTGAATGGAATTAAATGCAGTTCGTGATCAGTCATGAGTGGTGTTCCCCAGGGATCATTACTGTCCTCTTCAATACTTCACTGATGACCTGGATGAGGGCATTGAGTGCACCCTCAGTAAGTTTGCAGATGACACCAAGTCGGTACAAACTGTTGATCTGCCTGAGGGATCTGACAGGCTGGATAGCTGGGCTGAGGCCAGTGGGATGAAGTTCAACAAGACCAAGTGCTGAGTACTGTACTTTGGCCACAAACCCAAGCAATACTACAAGCCTAGGGCAGAGCAGCTGAAAAGCTGCAGTAAGGAAAAAGATCTGGGGATATTAGTCAACTGCCAGCTGAATGTGAGTCACCAAAAGGCCAATGGCATTCTGGCTTGTGTAAGAAATAGTGCAGTTAGCAGGACTAAGGACGTGACTTGCTGTCCCTCTGTATCATCACTTGCACTGGTGAGGCCGCACCTCAAGTTCTGTGTTCAGTTTTTGGCCCCGCACTACAAGAAGACACTGAGGGCCCAGAGTACATCCAAAGAAGGGCAAAAAAGCCAGTGAGGGTCTGGAGAACAAATCTTATGAGGAGCAGCTGAGGAAACTTGGATTGTGTAGTATGAAGGAGGCTCAGGAGAGACCTGATCGCTCTCTACAAATACCTGAAAGGAAGCTGTAGTGAGGTGGGGGGGACGGGTGGTTCAGTCTCTTCTCTGAAGTAACTAGAGATAGGACGTGAGGGAATAGCCTCAAGTTGCATGAAGGAAGGTTCAGACTGGGTATTAGGAAAAATTTCAGAAAGAATGGTGAGGTACTGAACCAGACTGCACATGGAGGTGATTAAATCACCTTGGAGGTGATTTAATCCTTGGAGGTGTCTAAAAAAAATTTGTAGATGTGGCACACAGGCACATGGTTTAGCAGGCATACTAGCAAAGTCAGACCTCATGATCTCAGAGGTCTTATCCAACCTTAGTAATCCTAAGAGTCCAGCAACAAAGGCTCTGACCATCTTCAGGGGACTGCATAGCCCTGGCAGAACTCTCCCCATGCAAGCTGGTAAATTACAGATGACTGAAAACTGAGAGGAATGAGAAGTCAGAGGGTCATCCTAAGGGACCTCAAAAAGCCAGAGAAATGGGCTGACAGGAGCTCCACAAAGTTCAATGAGGAAAAGCATGTGAAGTCATGAAGCATGCAGACAGGAGCAAGCCCAGACACACAGACATGCTGAAGCCACCCAGCTGGAAAGCAGTTTTGTAGAAAAGACTATGGGGAGCCAGTTTGAAAACAAGCAAACACTGTACCCTTGTCCATAAAGAAGCTATGAATATTCTTGACTGTATTACTCAGGATAACAGCAGCAGGTTGGAGGATGTGATCCTTTTCCTCTTTTCAGAATGTGAGGCCACAACTGGAGTACTACATTCGGCTCTGGGCCCCCCAGTCAGAGACACATGACATACTGGAAGGGGTCCAACCTAGGGCAACCAGGAAGACAAAGAGACCAGAGCACCCCTCTTATGAAGAGAAGCTGAGAGAGCTGGACCTGTTAAGCCTGGGAGAAGCAATCTTATCATTCTCCTAAGTTGGTCTCCCTCCTGAATATAAACTCCATTTAAGTACTGGGAAGCTGCAATAATGTCTCCCTAAAGCATTCTCTTTTCCAGGCTGAATCAATCATAGAATCACAAGGTTGGAAAGGACCTACAAGATCACCTAGTCCAACAAGCTCAATTCCCTCAACCTTTCTTCATAGAAGAGGTGCTCCAACCCTGTGATCACATCTGTGGCCTCACTGTGATCCTGCTCCAACAGCTCCACATCTTTCTTGTGCTGGGGGTCCCAGGCCTGGACATAGTAGTATTTCAGATGAGACGTCACAGAAGCATAGCAGAGCAGGACAGCAGGACATTCTAGTCCCTTGTTTTGTTGGCCACTTCTGTGTTGGTGCAGCCCAGGATACGCCTTCACTTTCCAGATTGCAAGTGGACGCTGCCAGCTTACATCAACCTTCTCATCCAACAGAATGCACAGGCTACACTCTGAAGACATTACTTTTTCTATTCTTCTGACACATATACATAGGAACATGACTCTGTTTCATAAGTGACATAAAATGCCATATTATACATTCTAAAATATTTTGGTACAATTTTCTAGCTTTTCTGAGAAATGTCATACTTTTAATATAAAAGTCTGTTTGACTTAAACCTATAAAGCACAGAATTGTGAGTGATATGCCCTTCCAACATAATGAACTCTTAAACAAATTCTGCCCTAATGGATAAGAAAACCACTTGCATCAAACATTTCTGAATCAACAGAATACAAAGGCAGCTGTCATTTTTGGTCCAGACACTTCCCTGTAGGATCACCCAGATTCCTTTCAAATCCTCAAATGCAAATTCAGCATTGAGATAGGAAGAAAATGCTTCCAGTACTACTGCCTTAAGAGACGAAGTATCTTATAATTATTTATCAGGA